GGCACGTGGCAGGCTGCCAACATTCTGCCCGGTATTGCAAGCCTAGTGCAGGCCGCGCCGTCCCTCCAAGAAATTGTGAAGAAGGAAGAGCTACGCTTCGTCCCTCATGCTTTCTCCAACATGAGCGCCCTCTACAACTACTACAGCGACTCGCGCATCGTCAGATCTGAACGTGCCCGCCACGTCGAGGTCATGGAGTTCGACAATCCTCAAGGCCCGAGTTGGGCGACGATTTGGGCGATGATCGAAGACGCTTCGCCGACGTCGCTGACGGTTGGGGCGCCGACGGACCCTACATACAAACGCGGGAGAGACATGTGGTACCAACGTGAGGAGAACCAGCGGGCACTCATCCTCTCGACCGCACCCCTATCCATGCTAAAAGCTAAAGCGAGTGATGAGTACAAACTGAGGTACCTGAGTAATGTACACATGTCAGTCGTCAACTGGCACACACATATATATCACAACAAGGAGGAGAGTGTGCGAGTGTTGGAGATGGCAGGAAGAGTCCCCCGCTGCCTCGACAACAGGTTTGAGCAAGGTCGTGCTCAGCGATTGAGCAAGGAGACTTCGGCAGCCGACTAGCTTCTTGCGCTTCAGGACATGAAGCCGAGCATTGCGAGGGGGGATGGGGAGGAGGTAGGCTGCTCTCTCTGTTTTCTGATTACTCGGTCTAGCTCCTGCACCCCTTTCCATAGTCATGGCATATTTCCTCTAGGGAATGTAGCTAAAACAACAATCACATGAAGATTACACAATCAACATCTTTCTGTGCTAACGCGAAAATTGCCTACGAATGAAGTTCATTAGATTTCCATAGCCCGATTCCTAATCAACGACCTCCTTTCGCAATACCGACATGCTAAGTAACGGGTAGTAGAGGGGCCGGATAGTAAGTACACAGGTAGGTACCACTCCTTCTCCGATCAACCTCTTCTTCCCCATACACAAGCTATATCATCGAACCCAACGCCACGTAGCTGCAATTCATGCACTCGACATTCACCGGTGGCCATCACCATACAAGCGGAGGGGCAAGAAGCATGCCCTCGTCTCGTCAATTAGACAAGGCCAACTGCTGACGTATGAGCTCTGCATCAGCGCCATGCTCTGCTCTCACTAGCCCAGCTCTGACGCATCTGGCGCAGAACGCTGGCATGATGCGCTGCAATCACCTTTCCAAGCTCGAGCCGTTGCGTGTGATACGTGTAATGTTTTCGCCAACGGGCTCTCTGAACGCACTTCTACAAATTCAGGCGAAGCAGAAGAGTGGAACGAAGCTATGCCGACCCAGAACGTCACGGAGCCTGAAGCGGGTCGAGAAGTCCCTCTCGTATTTGAGAACATGAGCTCCTTACCTTTTCACTATGCCCTCCGCAACGACGACCTGAAGGGTCTCCCCACCACTTCTAAGTCAAGGAGCTTGTACAGCTTGTGAACATCTATGGTCTGGAATGGCACATTATCTAGGAGGAGCTTAAAAAGGGGGTCACACATCGCGATAGAAGCGTCGCACTGCGCCGATGGATATGCGACAATGTTAGGGAGTAGCGGTGGGAGCTATCTTGTATATAACCTCACCTTCATCCACGGTTTCCAGCTCATTCTTCCCTGACGTCCATTGCAAGTGACCATTCTCTGCTACTCCAGCATCGCTCTTGCGAGCCAAATGTGATAAAGGGGGCGCTAGCCGAAGTATATGAGTACCATGATCCCACCCATTATCAATTAGCATCTCTATCAACGAGGCGGATCCGTTGTTCCCGTTCCAGAGGCGGATTCGGCGGACATTGTAGAAAGCGCCAAACGCTATGCTACAACAACTGCTTTCACGGAGGACGCGCATCGTGTTTGAGAATCAGTAGCATGTAGCTGATGCAGGATCTATTTCCTGAAGTTTGGCTGTAGAGAAGGAGAGCTGATGTGTGATGTAAATGTCTTTTATTGCCTAGTCTGGTTCTGGGTTGCGAGTCGGGATAAGTACGTCCTCAGTAATTTCAACCCAAAAAGAAGCGTTTTGCAACTACCTGACCACTCAGCCAGGGTAATGCATGCTCAAGAGATCGATGAAGTAAAAAGGTCAGAAGCAAAAGAATCGTGTGGATCAGATGAGTGTTGAAGGTAAACGCAGCACCTTCGTCGGCTCGCCAACGACCAGGAACTCAGATACAAGAACATAAAGCACCGTTTGTACAAAAAGAAAGCCGCAGCCTCTAAGGCTCGATCCCCAATCCCTCGCGCACGCATGCAAAAGCAAAAAAGAAAAAAAAATTTGAAGCAACCTCTTTGATAGGGCGTGTCATCCTTAGTGCAGGGGCCATGCTAATCTTCTCCGGCTGGTTTCAATACGACTCAAATGCCCGAAGGCGGGAGGATTCGAAAATAAAGTAAATATATACCCTTAGAGTGGGGCGTTGTTTTGACGAACCGTTTCCGGGCTAGCTGCACGTGCTACGAATAGCCCCACCAACATCCCCCCGAACTACACCCGCTCTTGCTCGATACTGTCTTGGTATATAGGTACGCCTGCTTGAACATAGATGCGCGTTGCAGCACACGTAGGCGACTAAAGTCTGTCTGCTCTTGAGCTATCAAAGAGGCGATCTGCACATCTTTCGAGAATGATTAGCTAGAGTTCGAACGTCTACGCACCATCGTGTAGGTTGGGAAGACCCCGTGACTTTGATGGCAGGTCACGTCTTCAGCCAATCTCCATCAGTTAAGCAAGTAAGTCTTATTGCTGTAGCATATCTCGCTTTATCTCATACAGTGCTTCATGATGGCCTCTGTGTTAGGTGACTAGGCATGCTGAGTGCTTCGAGCCTTGGTCGTTGATCCAGTGACCGACGCGTTCTCGAGACCACCCCCGCGCCGCCGCCGCAGCTCGCCGCCAAATTCTCCACCTCAACCTCCTTCCCCTACCCTCCACTCCACCACACCAATCCCTCATCCTCCGCCTGCGCAGGTCTATCATCCTCAGTATGGCCCCGTCGTTGACTCCGAAAACTACTTCACCAAGCCCCGCCGCCATGGTCGCAGACCGTGAGCAGGACTTGGCCCCGCTGCCACTGGCCTCCCCCGTACGTACTTCAGCAACAAAGCCTAGGAGCCCGCTGGGTCTAATACGTGACAGTCAACGACGATGCCCGCGCAAGTTGTCTGCCGCGCTGGAGCCACTCGCCGTCCTTCGCCCCGCAATGCCAAAGGACTCGACTTCAAAGCGAGCGTCTTCCGGAAGAGAGCCATCCTCTTCCGTGGCCGACTCTCGAAGGCTGCGCAGTGCCTCTATGTCTCGAAGAGCGCGCGCAAGCAGAGCACCCCAAAGCGCAGCGTGAAGCGCCATGGCCGCCTCTTCAAGGCCAATGCGGCGGCCTCTCAGATCATCAGCGCAGTAAGACCTATTTTCCCCGCATCGCGATGGTGGTCATGCTAATTCAGCACCAGGTCGACGCCCCTGCCCTACTACAAGCCATTCTCTTCCCCTTGAGAGACCTTCCGGCGGAGCTCCGCATGAACACCCTAACCTTTATCTTCAAGGACGAGCAGCCGGGCGTCCTAAAATATGTCAAGACAAGCTCGGGACCATGGGTGCTTACAATCTCTGGGAATCCCACACCCGTCGTCACCTACAGAACTCTGCTGCACTTCAAGGGATACCATGAGGGGGGATTCTTTGAAGAAAAAGAGGTCGAGGACCGCTTTTGGGCTCTGGTGACCCACTCCGAGGGAGACTGGGCGGACGTCGTTCGCCTCTACAAGCCCGCGGCTTCGTCGTCCCTGGTCACTACGCTGCCTGCGCGCAAAATCGAGAAGGTCGTCATTCTCGATTATGCCGTGTCGATGACGAACGCTCGGGAGGCTATCGCGCTTCTCGAGGCGTCCCCAGCCCTCAAGATGCTCACCTTTGCAGGGAACTCAAACAACGAATGGAACGGACGTGGCGATTGGTTTGCCAAAGGCCTCTCTTGGTACGTGGGGGCTCTCGTTGAGCGTATCGGCCTCTACCTGCAAGGCCTCAGGAACAGTGGAAGACTGGGGTTCGAAGCGGATTACGACGGAGTGTATACGAACCAGTCGGCCCAAGACCTAGACGCGCTCAAAATTGCCTGGCGGTGTAAGAAGCTGGCCGAAGACTTCCCCGGGCTCTTCGACGTTTACAACCGGGCCATGCTGGAAGGGCATACTCCTAGACGGGCTCGTCTCTGGGTAGTGGCCCATGTCGCTCACCCGACTTCTCGCTGTCTGTATTAGATCTTCTGGGCTTAGGATCTGCGCGAGTCATGGAAAGTTTGTGGGACCCTGATGTTGCGTAATGCCCGGAAATGGTTGACGGATGAAAGATCAAACTTGGGGTGATGCATTCCTTCCACGAGAGATCCTAGATTACTTGAGCTTCTTTATTTTGGCCTGTAATGAAGCTTGAGACCTATGATCAGTATCGTGAGATGCAGCTGGTGTTCTGATCATGTGGTTGACGTCGGTGCCAGCAAGACTCACCGTGTCTCCCTACAAGCAACCTTGATCCTCTGCAGAACGCTCTATTGCGAGGGTAGATATAAAGAGCGCTGCTTTCAGCTAACATATTAACACACATCACTTGATGAGACTCTTAGGCACGCGGATATCTCTCTGCCTGGGCTCCGCCCATGCTCGCACGACACCACTGTGAGGAGCACCTCAGCGACGAACTCCTATACCAATCAAATGGTAGCCCAATACATGTGCATCATCTATCTAGACCTTTAAACGCTTATGGGGTGGTGCCAGTAGATGCATTGCACCTCCGCGGCCCCAATCCACCCCCGCCCATCCCCGTACCTACCTTCCCGCCTCATCCCCCGCCCGCCTCACCCCACCAAAAAGCATCCCTCCCACCAAAAAGAATGCCCTCCACCACAAAAAAAGATTCCCCATCCCCACGCTTGGTAACAAAAATCCAAAAAGAAAAAAATCTAGGTGCTATGGCTGACGGGTCATCGACCATAGCACCTAGACTTGAGCTGAGACGGGAATCGAACCCGCAACCTCCCGTCGCAACCCAGTAAGCGACGGGTGCGCTCCCACTGCGCCACTCAACCGTTGATTTGGAGATTCGTCGAATGTTGCTGTATATATGGCAGGAGCCCTGACGCCTGGTAGAGATTTGCGACTGGGGAGGAAGGGAGGCCCCACCCGAGCCGGGGTGCGGGTGTGGTGCTTGCCGTGTGCGGTTTGGGGGAGTTGGGGACGTCATCGGGGTTTTGGGGAGGGTCACGGGGTTGGGGCGAGCCCCCGCGGTGGGCGGGCGGTATGGCAGAGGGAGCACTGGGCAGGTGAGGATTACGCTGCGCAGCAGCAAAGCCTTCGATGGCACCTCTGATGAGGATGAGAATCCATTGATCCATTGTATATAGGCGCTTGGTCGGCATGTCTGGGGCGTAGGCTAGACGGGGAGGACACCCCCGGCAGCGCAGCCTGGCCGCCAACCCCGTCGCCAACTGCAGACGATCGCTACACTACGACATTGAAGCGGAAGCCCTTGCTCTTAGAGAGGAACGATTCTCGCATCTTCTTCATACGAGCCCATCGCAGAGGCGGAATGGTTCGCCCTTTTGCGACGTTGGAAGGTCATTGGCGGCTTTCAAATCTGGTAAAAGGTGATGAACTTTACGGTAATTTCCAAATCTTCAACATCGACATGAGAGTACTGAGATCATCTGCTTACTTAAATACCATGTCTTTGCGAAGGTCCTCTATATTGGTGTGGCGAATGACGCATCTCCATTCCTGAACCTGTCCCCGGTGAAGTATACATCCCATCTTTACGCATTCTCAGGAATATGTTGACGGTGTTAGCTAGTTGGCAATCATCGCGCATCACGAGGCTGATCTTAAGGGTGCATTCCTTGCGAGGGATTCTGCGGCCCTGAATGAAAGGGAGAGTAGTTCTGCTGGAAACCTTCCTATTTTCATGAGAAAACGAAGGAAAGATGGAAAGGGAAGCAAGAAAGACAACATTTCCAGCATCAAACTACCCCCTCAATGACTCCTACTCAACCTTGAGTGAAGTCTCTTTTCTCTTTCCTCGTTTTCAGTGACCGTCACACCATGCTGTGCCTCACTCCCCTCCGTTTCGCCCTCCCCATCATCCTCAAAACCGTCAGCGTGAAGGAGTTTCCAACCTAGCATCTGACGTGGTACACAGAGCCAAACCTCATCTAGTGTTCCATTCCATTTCAGCAGAACCCGTCACGAACTCAAGGAAGAGTGGAAACAGATTCCCCACACGGTCAGCGACCCGATTGTCGGCGACGTCGAAGCTGCGCAAGTTGAGGCGCAGACGGAAGAATGCCTCTCCCCTCACAATGCCCAATGCCGCCATCCCGGTCACCTTCGGCAGGTGAACGGAATTCCACAAACTTGTCACGAGGTCATGCTGAAACGTCGGCTCAAACGATCGGCAGCCTGCTCTCCGCGGTCGTCGTGAAGCTTCCAGCGAGCGAGGATGCGCATGGTGTTCATCCCACCTACAGCCATGAGGCTATAGTGCGCGCGAAGAATGTCCTCTTTTCGCGGGTGGCCAAGCACGATGCCGGCTCGGCGCTTGAGAACGAGCTCTATCGCAAGAAATGGAATGTTGGTATTGTGTCCCCACGAAGTGCCGGCCCTTTCAATCTTGAAGCCTACTGCCGATGGATATTCTCAGGATTGGATGGGTCGTATCGAGCCGCAATAACGCCGGAGAAAGACATAGAGATATCCGAAGCGAAGCGGAGGACCCGTCTCCATTCGAGCTCCTCCTCATCGGGGCAGTTGTATTTGGGCGGACGCCCTAATTCAGTAGTTTTGCACCCTTCTGAATGCGAGATTGGCGATGCTATGGGCTTCGAACGTAAAGTTTGGACGGGCAAACGAGGACCGTGGTGGTGCAATTCTGGGAACGTGTAGAGGTGGAGCGCGGTAGCCAGGTGTTGAGGGGACGAGGGACGAGAAACGAGGAACGAAACGGCGATGAGGCGACGAACTTGCAAAGGGAGGTTCTCGGACTGTCGCGCATGTTCGAGGTGATACTGGTTGTATGAGCGGCGATGTCCTGGGTGCGGAATCAACTACGGGTGCCAGATTTGAGTATGAGCGCCGTTGCACGATTATGCTTGAAAAGCAGACCAGCATTAGTTGACGGGGGTTTCTTGGGAATAGAATGACAGGTTCCATGTGCACGAGGTCGAGCGTGGTAGTGCTGTAGGAATCGTTATCTCGGGGGTCGATAAGGATGGGTTTACGGCATACCACGGGCATCTCCGGCATTGAATCAGGGTATTTGTTCAAAGTTAGTCTCTGTATCACCATTGTACATATCGCCAGAATCATAGTAACTTGTATCGTTTCTACATGTTGCCGTGGTCTACCGTGAGTAGCTAAAACAGTACTGTAAGAGAAGAAGGGAATATGTCCACCATTGGCTCCCATAGAGCGCAGTCGGCTACAAGTTACCAAAGGACATCATAATACCTTTCCTGTGATGAAAGATCGCCCAGATGGGGCAGCAAGCAGGGGAGGAAAGGTAGTGACATTAGGACTAGAATCCGAGAAGGGGAATGGGAGTGGAAAGAGGGGGCAGGGGAGAGGAAGGGAATCCGGGGAAGGGAAAGGAGGTGGTGTTCAACGCTTTTGTTCTCGGGAAGCCCTTTTGTTCCTTGTCCTCTTGGCAAACATATCTTGCATACCTAACAGTCGAGAAGCTTCGCTAGTATCTGAGACCTCGACGTGATTGTTGTAGCTTTCGTGAGGACCGGATCGAGGTGGAGTCGCAGGACGGAGGATCTAGTCCTGTGAAGTTGGAACACCGAGCGCTGTTGTAGGCGCTTTCGTCAGGGGCTGCCAGCGGACTGCACACTTCGTATATTCTCTTAAAAGTTCAGTGGGCCTGGGACCTGGACATAGTCTTTTACGTGGTGTGTCGTCGAGGTCGTTGTTGTTGAGGCTTCTGCGCCTGTTGCGCGTGGGAAGCTTCTCTGGCCGCCTGAGCTCGATGTACGACATCTGTGAAGATTTGACGGCGGCGAACCAACTCAGTGTCGAAATACTGGCTTAGGGAGGTGGAGTCGGCCTCCCTCTGAGTAGCGGTCCGGCAAGGCGTGTGAACCTTCCCAAGGAGGTGTAATCTACGCCACCCAGCCTCATGCTTCTCGTACGCCGCTTCGTAGTCAGCATCGAACTTGACTTTGACACCCTTCTGCTCTAAGAGGTCCCAGAACCACATTGACTCTTGACAAAGTAGCTGATCAATATAGGTCGTGTTGCGCGCTACGAACGTGGGTGGCACTGGAACAGTTGGATCGATTTCGCCGAGGCCGGCAAATGTCAAGGTCTTCAGCCCTTGCATGACGAGGATGATGTCGCAACTCTCGCGGACGTTCTGCTTACTGCCGCTTGTGATCACGATGGCGGGAATCAAATGCAGGAAGTTGGAGTCGGTTTTGGAGCGGGCAAGTGGCAGCAGTGTGTCGGAGACTCTCGTCCAGTCCCCCGCCGGGAATTTGCGCTTCCAAAAAGCTTTGCCGACCTCAGCGTAGAGTGTCTGGCAGCTCAAGCTTAGAGCCAGGTAGTCCGTGATCGAATCCGGATTCAGCACATCTTCGACCCGGAATCTCGTCGGCAGGAAGTTGTCGGCGGGAGGATCTGCTACGAGATAGGAGTAGCCCAGCGCTCTACGTTGCAGTGGCCCCTCCAGACCAACGGCGTCTTCAAATACTTGCGTCATGAATTTCGCTGGCAGTTGGAGTAGAGACCGAGGGACTGTGGCCTATTCCAAGAATTAGCAGCGGACTCGTCGCCGCGGTAGCCGTTGGAACACGAACCACGTCTTCGGCATGAGCGACAGGCTGCGAGGCAATATATGTGGCACCATGCGCAGGCTGAGGCGGATATTGAGGCGACGTGAGATCGATGAAGTTTTGGATGTTCTTGTGCAGGATCGAGTCCGCGGGCACCGGTTGGAGAAGTGGATACGTCGGTGCGGTACCAATGGCTCCTAGTACTTGGTTGTAACGGGTATCGTGGGTAGCCATTTTGCTTGCAGAATTAGCACAAGAAGTAGTTTCCGTGATAGGCGCATATACCTGGTTGTATGGATGTTCGTAGAGCTGGAGTAGTCGAGAGCTTGCGCTGTTGTGAAAGTAGCAGCGGCCCTCTCGAGCTAGCGTCACTTTGGGTAGATACCCTTACGACCTTCAAAGTGCCATTTATCGAGTGCCACGGACACCAGACTCTCTTTCAGGTATACGATCCGTCACCGTAAGTAGGGCACCGTCATCCCGCGAAAGAACCAACCGTAGTAGATCAAGTCGATATCGAGGCTTTTACTTCACAGGATACAATGGAAGACGGGGTAGCATGATTTTGTTCCACTAATGATTTCTTGCCTTCGGAGCTTTGATCATGCTCCCTCGACGCCGCTGCCAGGAGCATCCCAACGAGAAGACAGCTCATCATTCGAGAGGTAGTCTGATCTGAGCTGCCTTAACCTCATCCATATCCCATGTTGCATTGAATCTTGTCGGGAGTAATGAGCAGAAAAATGGAGCTTCGTTTCATTGTCACCTTTCCCAACATAGTCTGAAAACACCCAATACTTGTGAAGAGAGCACAAAGAGAATGAAAGAGTCCAACATTCAGCTATGTACAGCAGGTTCATTACCCCACGCCTCCGTCATCTCTCTTCAGTCTTATTCCATACCGCAGCCTCGCTCTACGTCTCCAACACATCCTAGGCCCCACCAAGCCATCATTCAGCGACATCGAGAGGTTCTGTCGCATATGCATGTCGCAGCCAGGTCGACGAGGTCTTGAACGACCAGCAACCTAAGCATCTGACGTTAGCCATCATCCGCTGATATGCCAATATCGACGCATAACGAAAAAGAAAGCATGTGTGTAAAAGTATGTTGGGGCAAGCGTGGTGTGTAAGAGAGGAACACGCAGGCGTGGTGTGTAAAAGGAACATGCCATCTATGGTCGAGTCTCTCCGTCGATAGGATCACATCGAAAAAGCTCCCGAAGTTGAGAAAGACATGTTCAAGATTCCCCGTTAATCTAG